GGCCCCGGGCCGCGCCGGAGCGGGGGCCAGGGGGGTGCTCCTCGGTTTGGCGGGGGTCTCGCTGGAAGAGGCCGCGCCCGCGTCGGACCTGGCGCTGGAGCCACCAGGGGAGACGCTGTGCTAGGCCGGGACGATGTGGCGTTTGGCACCTCCCCACCCTGTGGCCCCAGTGCTGACTGGGGAGTAGTCGCTTTGACGGTGCAAAGAGCACTGGACTTGGAGTCAGGGCGGGGTGGGGGTTCCGCTGCCGTTTGCCAGCATTAGGTAGGTAGTGCCAGCACCTGCTTTCAGAAGTCTCCCCCGCAGCGGGCAATTGTAGTATCTGACCTGTGCACCCTGCATCCACACTCCTGCCTTGACCATATTTATTGCCACTCTCTGCTTGGCTAGGCACAGGCCTGGGCAGGTCAGGTGCAGCCATCTTTCTCTGACCCCTTCCTGCCTGGGAGATATATGGCCAGGGAGTGCTGGTTAACTGTTAAGCCCACCTCTGGGCAGGCCGTTGCATCTGCCCCTGGCTTCAATCTTCCTGCCTGACATGGGGAGGAGCAGCGAGCAGTGCCAGGAGTGGGGCCCTGGTTCTTCCAGGGACCAGGTTTGAGCGAGGGACCTGCCTATCTCAAGGGGTGTTGCCCCCCCCTCCCAGGCTCCCTCAGCAGGAGTCTAGGGTCTCTGTTGGATGCCTGCTGCCCCCCACCCCAGCTCAGGGAACCTCACACTCCTGGGTGGGTGGGGGCATTTGGGGCACCAGACACTAGCCGCCACTTCCACGGGCCAGGAACATGCGCGTATCCAGCCTGCAAGGGCAGGGGTCGTGAGGGGAGACCGTCAGGCTCCTTCCTTTGGGTTAAGCATTGCCTGCTCAGAGATTGGTGGGGGTAGAAGGGGACAGGCTGCTAGACCCTATGATCCCCTGGGGTTGAGCCCCTGAAACAGGGCAAAGGACAGCAGTGTCTTAGTCCCTTGACCACCGACTGACCCCCCCCCAACTTCTGTTGGGCCTGTTCCTAGGCACCTCTCATCCCTGGCATCTGCCAGCTGGACCCAGAGGCCTCCTTTCCCCTCTTCTGCAGCCGGTATTGTCCTGGGGCCACCTTGGCAACACAGGTTTCCTCCCTGGCAAACCTGTATGACTCCCTCCCCTGCCCTTCCCCAGAGCCAAGGCGCTGTTCCTGAACTGACGTGGTGACCGTGGTGACCAGGCCAGAACTTTAAGCAACAGCCCCAGAGACCCCTCAGACCCCCTGCCCAGAGCCGGCAGCCTGGTAAGCCCTCCTCCCCCTCCTCTGCATCCTCAGGGCTGGAGCCAGAGCTGGGATGGCTTCCAGATCCTGACCATATCCTTCCAGAGGCTGAGCCAGGCCTGCACTTTGTCCCCTCGAATGTGAGAAGACTGGGGTGGGGGAGGTGAGGGGTGGAAGGGCTAAGTCTGCATATCAAAAAGGGGGCAACCTAAGCAGTGGCATGGGGGAATGCTGAGCTTAGAGTCCTGGGGGTCCCCCAGTCCCACCTCTCACCCCCACCCTCTGTGTCCCTGGCTGAGAGATTCCTGGAGGACATTTTTCCAGGAAAAGAAAGAGGGTGGTGTTGGGGTCCAGAGCCCTGGATGGGCCTCCCTCTGCCTTCTGTGGGGGTGCCTAGGGTGAGCTGGCTCTTGGGGACTACTTCTGGCCTAACCTGATTTGGACAGGAACATCCAGAGACAGAGCTGTCCCCTCAGGAGTGGGGACGTTATTCCACTTCACCAGTCTCCATGACTACTTAATTAAAGGCTGCTGGCACCTCTCCTTGGAGTTGCCTTGAGCAACAGAACTGTGCTTGTGGAGAACCTGTGGGGTGGCAGCAAGGGTTGTGATGTTGCTTTCTCAGCTCTCAGGTCTGATGTGGGAGTTCAAGGACTTGACCTGGGTCCTTTAGGCAGTCCTGCCACTTCTGGGGAGCCAGTGAGGGGGGAGGTTGGGGGTCCAGGGAGTCAGGTAGGCAGGACATAGCCAGACCCCAGGCCCTGATAGGGGCATGCTAGGCCCCAAGCGGCACCTGCCAGGAGACATATCGGTGACAGCCACACCTTTGCTGTCCCAAGCCCTTGGTCAACCATGTGGTGGCCCAGTTGGAGTGACAGGGAACCAAGGTCTGGGTGACCCAGCGGGGAGTGGGGGGTGTGGGGTAGGGGGCTGCAACGAGACCTGCCTCACCTTTGGGTTTCTTCTCCACCCATGCAGTGGGGTAGTCCAAGCCCAGGAGGAGGGAGGCCAATACAGGGCTGATGTTAGCTCAGCAAGTAGCAAGTGACAATGAGCCACCTGGTAGCCACTGCAAAGAAGACACTAAATGGTTTTGTTCATGGTGGTTGGCTAGTATGGGGATCTGAACCCTTGACTTTGGTGTTATAACACCACACTCTAACCATCTGAGCTAACCCGCCAGACCCTCAAAACGGTTTTGGAACATTTACTAGGAGGAAGGAGGCAGAAGGACACTCTGTGGAGACAAAGTTTCCCCTGAGCTTGCTCTATAGGGATGGGTTGTCAGCCTTCTGCAGGGCCAGGAATTGCCATGGGGCTGTAGGAAGCCTCAGAGAATGAGGGGTCACGGGTATAAGCTCAGGATCTGGATTCACATCCCCTGGGCTGCCACTTGTTGTGTGTGTAACTCAAGGTAGGGAGCTATCTTAGTGTCCTGTGGCTGCCATAACAAATGACCACAAAATTGGCAGCTTAAAACAACGGAAATGGGGCCGACCCCGTGGCTTACTCGGAAGAGTGCGGCGCTGGGAGCGCAGCAGTGCTGGGAGAGTCGAGGCCGCGGGTTCGGATCCTATACAGGGATGGCCAGTGTGCTCACTGAGAAATGGGGCCGACCCCGTGGCTTACTCGGGAGAGTGCGGCGCTGGGAGCGCAGCGGTGCTGGGAGAGTCGAGGCCGCGGGTTCGGATCCTATACAGGGATGGCCAGTGTGCTCACTGGCTGGGCGCAGTGCGGGCGACACCAAGCCAAGAGTTGCGATCCTCTTGCCGGTCACGAAAAAACAAAACAAACAAACAAAAACAGAAATGTATTCTCTCATGATTCTGGAGGCCAGAAGTCAAACGTCAATGTGTCGGCAGGGCCACACCCCTCTGAAAGCTCTGGGGCAGGATCCTTCTTTGCCTCTTCCAGCTTCGGGTGGCTCCCAGCCATCCTTCGAGTTCCTTGGCTTGCAGCCGCAGTGCTCCAGTCCCNAGGAATTGCCATGGGGCTGTAGGAAGCC